GCAAAAAACAAAACACTTTGCGAATTTTGCGGCGGAAACGGACATCGCATTGTCGACTGTTTTCACATGAAATCAGCACGTGCGGCATTCCGAGCTCGTGGGAGTGGCGAAACTAAAGACAAAAAGTCAAAAAACGGATCTCGCCAGTGATTGCGGATCGTGCTGGCGAGAAAAAACAGATCCGAAAGCGTCAGCGCAATCTGGACCGAATCGAAATTGAAGGACAGCATTGGGCGCGAGATTTGGAGAATCAAGGGCGAAATCCCAAGCCCCTTGACCGAAATTTGTCAGAGGAATTCGCCGAGGAAAAGAAAACCTCCGCGAAAACAGACTCGACCAAGACGGGAACTCTCCAATTCGACCCCGGAAAAAAACAGAATTCGTTTAAGTTATCTTTCAAAGATGCTTTAATGAAGACTGGCGATTTTCGCGGGTCCGGAGCCATAAACAAATTCCGGGAAGAACTCCAGAGGAAGCAAACAATTAAAGAAGTGGTACTGGTGCCTACGGAGCTGGGGAAAAAATTAAGGAGTGTGGAAAGGAGTAGACCTTTTCACGGCGTCAACGTCCTCTCCCGGAACCAGCCCAAGACGACTCTCCACTCCCCAGGGAAGAAGTCTATGGAGCTGAAGCAGCTGAAGAGGCAGCTGGGAGTTCAAAAGAAGCTGCAGAAACTCCGAAAACCCCTCCAGGATGCATCCAGTGGATCGCAGGCGTCGACCAGATCCACCCCCTCAGGGTCAACTTGTACGGTTACTACCTCTACTCCTGGCGTTGGAGAAGAGCCTTTCTCCACGTAGCCCAGGCCAGCTAGTTGTCCAGAAGAAAGTAGTGGAACCACAGTGTGTACTGAATATTGGGATGTACCCTATGATCCTATTAATGAGACTATTTTTGGGTACTCCGAGCAACGCTCACCACTCCTGCTCGAGGTGATCTGCAACGGACAGCGCCTCCAAGCACTCGTGGACAGCGGGGCGTCGCACATCGTCTATGACAAAAAGGCAATCGATCGACTCGGAAGTGACATCAAGTCCTCAAGCTTCTCTGCAACGATGGTGGATGGCAGTAAGCTACCTATCTACGAGGAAACACGGTTGCTACTCCAGATTGGACCCCTTCGATGGAAGCCTGCTCTCCCCGTCACAAATATCAAAGGACTCGACATAATCTTCGGGAGAGACTTTCTTAAAAAGTTCAACCCTGAGATCAACTGGGTTAACCAGACGGCCAACATCAACAACAACGGGAGGAAAATCAGCCTTCCCAAATGGGACGACACGGGAAATATTACAGTCGAGACACTCGCACGCTTTGAAAAGGACGTCAAACGGACCACGGCGGGATTCATGGCGATAGTCAACGAGGCAGACAACGGAGAGAAGCAGACCCAGGAACTTCCTCGAGTAGTCAAGAAAATTCTTGAAGAGTTCCAGGACGTTCTCCCCGACGATTTACCTGATCAACTACCGCCATACCGGACACATCAACACGAGATCGTAGAAGAGCCGGGGTCCAAGCCAACATTTCGAGCACCATACCGGTTGAGCTCGACAGAGCTTGCCGATATGAAAAAACAAATAGAGTATATCCTGGAGAAAGGGCTGATTTGACCTTCGACTTCGCCGTACGGAGCTCCAGTTCTCTTCACTCCGAAGCCAGACGGAAGTCTGCGAATGTGCATCGACTACCGAGCCTTGAACAAGCAGACTGTAAAAAATAAATACCCGATACCACGGATCGACGACTTACTCGATCAACTTCGCGGTGCTACGGTATTCTCCAAGCTCGACCTCAGATCGGGATACTGGCAAATTCGTATGGCGGACAACTCTATCCACAAAACCGCTTTTCGAACTCGGTACGGGTCATACGAGTATCTCGTGATGCCATTCGGACTCACTAACGCACCAGCCACATTTCAGGCAGAAATGAACCACATCCTTTGGCCCCTTCTGGACGAGTGCGTGGTGGTATATTTGGACGATATCCTGATCTACTGGAAAGATATGAAGCAACACGTTGAGCATCTACGACGGGTGTTTGAAATTCTTCGACGAGAACGCTTCAACGTGAAACTATCCAAGAGCGAGTTTGCGTTGAAAAAAGTCCAGTTCCTTGGACATATGGTGAGCGCTCAAGGAGTTCACGTGGATCCTAAGAAGATCGAAGCAGTGCGAACGTGGAAGACCCCTGAGAACGTGAAGGAGTTACAACAGTTCCTTGGATTCGCCAACTACTACAACCGGTTCGTACCGAACTACGCCAAGATTGCCGCACCATTAACGAACCTGTTGAAGAAGAATACACCATATCAATGGGAGGCGAAGCACCAGGAAGCTGTGGAACAACTTAAAACCGCACTCACGTCCGCACCTGTTCTTATCCTGCCAGACACTGAACTTGACTATGTCATCGAGGCCGATGCTAGCGATCAAGCAGTGGGCGCAGTACTCATGCAGGATCAAGGGAAGGGACTACAACCCATTGCATACCTCAGTAAAAAACTTCACGGGGCAGAACTCAATTACCCCATCCATGACAAAGAGGCCCTCGCCATCGTCAACGCATTTAAGGCATGGAGGTGTTATCTCGAAGGAAGAAAAACGACTGTCTACACCGACCACTGTAGCCTCAAGTACCTGAAGACCCAACCAACACTCTCCAGGCGGCAGGCCCGGTGGATTGACTTTCTCGAAACCCACTTCCATTACGACATCGTGTATAAGCCGGGGCACAAGAACAAGGCAGACGCACTGAGTCGCCCTGCACACGTTGCCGCCTTACAAATCGATGGCATGAACCCACTTCTGAAGGGACTCTTCACGCATGGATACACCATCGACCCCGAAGTCTCTGTAGCAGAAAAGCGCCATCTTCTACATTGGGATCAAGACATCGCATACCGCAAGGGCTCCACAAAAATATGGGTACCTAATTACCCTCCCTTACGCCAGTTACTGCTCGAAGAATATCATGATGTTCTCTACGCGGGCCACTTCGGTAGTAACAAGACGCTTGCCGGTATTGCGAAGCATTATTATTGGCCCCACATGGCGGATGACGTACAAAAATTCGTCACCTCGTGCGACACATGCCAACCGATGAAGAGCAGCAAACAGAAGAAAGCAGGATTACTACAGCCTCTTCCAGTCCCTGAACAGCCTTGGCAAGTGGTTAGCCTCGACTTCATCACCGGGTTACCACCTACCAAAGCTGGTTACGACGCCATTCTAGTCGTCATCGACAAATTCTCCAAAATGGGACACTTCATTCCGACACACACAACGGCTCGCGTCGAGGAGACAGCGCAAATATTCTTCCGCTACGTCATCTCGCAACATGGCATTCCAACCACGCTGATCTCCGATAGAGACCCGAAATTCACGAGTAAATTCTGGAAGGAGCTCATGTCGCTCATGGGGACCAAACTCGCCATGTCATCAGCCTATCATCCCCAAACGGATGGTCAGACAGAGCGCCTCAACCAGATTGTCGAACAGCTTCTGCGAGCAGCGTGTAAGGACGATATCTCTAAATGGGATGCACATCTGCCGATTCTCGAGTTTGCGTATAACAACGCCACGCACGCCGCAATAGGGCAAACTCCTTTTTTCCTCTGTTACGGTTGCAACCCACTCACGCCTCAGAAACCAACAGTACCCGCCACGGTGCAACCCGCACATGACTTCATTTCCACTATGCACCAATTGTGGGAGCGCACGCATAAACGTCTTCTGACTATCCAGCAGCAACAAAAGAAGCTCGCTGATCGGAGTCGCAACGATCATTCCATCCAGATTGGCGATCAGGTGCTTCTGGATACACGCAATCTCGACATTAGCCATCTTCCGTCTAAGCTCTGACTTCGCTTCTGCGGACCTTTTCTCGTCGAGGCGCAGGTCACTCCAGTAACCTTCCGCTTGCGTTTACCAGCTACCTGGAGAATTCACAATGCCTTCCATGTTTAACTTCTCAAGCCCTATCGGGACCCAAACACGGTCTTCAAAGGTCGCCAGCCGCCGCCGCCACTACCAGTGATCGTTAATGGGGAACCCGAGTACGAAGTCGAAGCCGTTATGGCGCACCGACGACGACGTAGCGGCACCTTGGAGCTCTTGATTCGTTGGAAAGGCTATGATCCTTCCGAGGATACCTGGGTACCTGAACACGACATGGATAACGCCCGCCGTCCTCTACAGGACTACCTTGTCAAGCAGGGTGTTACTTCTACCACCCAGCTTTGAGGGGGGGAAGTGTGAGAGGACGTCCCCGTTATAATATTTTCTCACTATTATATTTTTCCGTTATCCCATTCTCCCTTTTCTCCTCTTTATTTTGGTCTTCATCTCATCTCAATCGGCCTACTATTCTATTTTCTAGAGCCTTCTATTTATTTCTCTTATTTCATACTTTTCCCACCGACATACCTATTATACGGCACCGACAGCGCCGACAATGGTGTATACGGTGTAATCTGGGCGTAATCCCAAGTGCCAATAGACTTGCGTGCTTATGCGCACTTGTGATTGTAGTATCGGGAAGGGTGTGTTCCTGAAGGTTCGTTTTATCTCGTTTATCCTTGTACTTTCCGAGTATAAATAGGCCTTGTATTCAGTTTTAGTGACAAGTTTCGATTGAGAATTCGATCCTGTGACACCTGCCCCGCCTGCTACTGCTGACAGCAATGTTCGCTAACAGTGGGCCACAAACGCGATGCTGCTGCCCGTGTTGCTCTGCGTTGCCACTTACCAACCACTGAGCGTGCGCACTTTAGCCAGTACAAGAGTGCTAAGAACTTGTACCACGGTGTAGTTGCACGCTACTCTTCCCCTGCCACTGCTGCGCTGAGCCGCCTCATGCTACCGTACCTCTTCCCTGACCGTGCTGCCTTTCCCATAGTCGCTGACCTCATTACGCACCTCCGCACTAGTGACACTCGCTACCGCGCTGCGCTTTCTGCTGAATTCTGTGCCTAGACCCCCCCCCCCCCCCCACCCATGTACATCACCCTCTACTACATAGTTACCCGGCTCCCTGACTCCCTTGACTTAGTCGAGGACCCATTCCTCTCAATTTGCCCCACCACAATCACTGTTGACCTCCTCGAGAAGCGCCTCCTAGCAGCAGAGAAGAGCATAGTCGCTGTAGGAGCCCCTCGTGGTGACCCTCGTACCCCCGTCTTTGAGGGATGTTCCCGTTCCCCCCTCTTGCCCTCTGTTGCTTCTGCTGTTGCGGCCGACCTCGTTGGTTTCGAGTCGGTCGGCGCTGCGTCAGCCCCTAGCGGGAGACGCCGCACCGGCAAGGGCAAGGGGGGCAAGGGCGCTGGAGGGACTGGCGGGGGCGGTGGAGGTGGTGGTGGAGGCAGTGGAGGGGGTGGGGGTGGTGGTGGGAGCGGTGGCGGGGGTGGAGGTGTCGGTGGCAGCAGTGGAGGCGGAGGAGGCGGCGGCGGTGGCAGAGGGAGCGGAGGCGGCGGAGGTGGCGGAGGCAAAGGGGGCAGCGGTGGAGCAGGTCGCAGCTCTGGGCAGAGGAGTGGGTCTGGTGGTGGTCAGCGCCAGCAGCAGCAGCGCAGTCGTGAGACCCTGTCCCCTCAGCAGCTTCGTGAGTGGTACGCTGGGCGTCAGCGAGGTGGGGGTACTGGTCCCTGCACCTACGTCCTCCGTACAGGCGACCGTGCTGGTGAGCAGTGCGGGGGCCCGCACTCCACCCAGCACTGCTTCGGCCGCCTGACGGACGCGTGGCGTCACTAGTTCCCTGACACCACTGAGATCCCTCGCTGGGGAGAGCTGTCTAGGGCGGGGGTTGCTATCTTTGATCTTGATGATGATGCTATTCTTGCTCCCATGTATGCTGTGTCTACTAGCGATGAGGGTGACTGTTACCTGTGTGTTCCGTTTGACCCGGGCGTTGAGGCTGCTGCTCTAGGTGCTGGTGAGGCTGCTGATCTAGGTGCTAGTGCGTCTACTGCCCCAGGTGCTGGTGAGTCTGCTCTCTCAGGTACTACGTCGGCTCATGCCTTACACACCTTCACCCTTGACTCGGGTGCTTCCCGCTCCTTCTTTCAAGACCGCACCACACTTACGCCGCTTAGTCGGCCAGTTGCGGTCTCCCTGGCGGACTCCTCTGGGGGTCCTATCCTTGCTAGCTTCTCCATTGTCTTACCGTGCCCGCCAGCCCCCTCTGGCACCCTGTCAGGTCTCTACCTCCCCTCGATCTCTACGAACTTGGTAAGTGGAGCTGATCTACAGGATCGGGGGGTTGACCAATTCACTCCTGCGAGTCAGCGGGTGACCCACTGCACGAGTGCTCGGACAGGCCGACACTTGGCCACGTTCACCCGTCGGCCGGGGTCGAGCCTGTACACACTTACTATTGAGTCTCCTCTGGCTACTGAGTCTGGTCAGGTAGCTACTTCGAGTCAGGTGTTTGCTGCAGCGTCCAGGTCTGTTCTTGAGTCTATTCCCTGCTCATGTTGTCTCCTGTCCCACCAGACTCTCCTTTGGCACCACCGCCTTGGTCACCCCTCCCTGCCTTGCCTCCAAGGCATGGCCTCTCGTGTCCTTGTCTCTGGTCTCCCCTGGTCTCTCCCTCCCCTACCTCCGGGGCCTGCCCCTACCTGCGTCCCCTGCGTAGAGGGGTGACAGGGTGAAGCGGCCGCCGGGTTCTACGCCTGTCTTCAAGGTGCGTTACGTGGCTCGAGGCTTCAGTCAGCGGCAGGGAGTTGACTACTTTCAGACCTTCTCTCCCACCCCGAAGATGACCACTCTTCGGGTGCTGCTGCACATAGCCGCTCAGCGCGACTACGAGCTTCACTCTCTTGACTTCAGCACAGCTTTCCTGCAGGGCAGCATGCACGAGGAGATCTGGCTGCGCCGCCCACCTGGCTTCATGGGGTCGTTTCCCACTGGTACCTAGTGGAGCCTCCGGCGGCCAGTCTACGATCTCCGCCAGGCGCCCTGTGAGTGGCACGACACACTGAGAACTACACTTGCGGCTCTTGGGTTTGCTCCTTCTACAGCCAACCCGTCGCTGTTTCTGCGCACCGACACCTCTTTTCCGCCGTTCTACATCCTCGTGTACGTCGACAACTTGGTCTTTGCTACTGCAGACATTGCTGGACTCGCCCACGTGAAGTCCGGGCTGTTGAAGAGACATACGTGCACAGACCTGGGTGAACTGCACAGTTACCTTGGCTTGCAGATCACTCGGGATAGAGTACACCGCACCATTACCTTGACTTAGTCACACATGGTGCAGCAGGTTTCTTCAACGCTTCGACTTCACGTACTCCTCGCCTCAGGCCACTCCTTTGTCTACTTGCCACTCACTCTCAACTCTGCCTTCGGATGAGTCCGTAGAGCCGAGTGGCCCGTACCCAGAGCTTGTTGGCTGCCTCATGTACCTAATGACCTGCACACGACCTGACCTTGCATACCCTCTTAGCATCTTGGCACGCTATGCTGCTCCTGGGAGACACCAACCAGAGCACATGGCTGCAGCGAAGAGGGTGTTGCGCTACTTGTGTAGTACGTCGGGCATGGGGCTAGTGCTTGGAGGGCGATGTTCAGTGGTCCTCACAGGTCACGCAGACGCTTCTTGGGCTGACGACCAGCCTACGCAGCGGGTGTCACAGGGTTACTACTTCAGCCTTGGTTTCGGCTCTGTTTTGTGGTGGTCTACCCGCTCGTCTTTTGTTCTGGGCTCCACCTGTGACGCTGAGATCTACCCGGGGGCCATGGCTGCACAGGAGCTACGCTGGCTCACCTACCTGCTAACTGACCTAGGAGAGCCGCCTCGTCTGCTCCAATTTTGTACGTAGACAACAAGGCCATGCTGGCCTTGTGTTAGGAGCACAGACTGGAGCATAAAACGAAGCACATTGCTCTTCGCTACTTCCTTGCTTCTGAGCTGCAGCAGCGTGGTCAGCTGCGCCTTGCTTACGTGGCCTCTGACGCCAACACTGCGGATATCTTTACCAAGGCACTTCCGCCTGGTGATCATCAGCGCTTCTGTACGATGCTAGGTCTTGTGCCTACTTGGCCTCACTTGCTCACTTCTTGACCTTGCTTGTACTGTGATCTTTCTATACCTTCACTTGCTTGTTTACCTTTATATATGATCTTGCATGTGAACTGGCCTTGTGGCCTTGCTCTTGTGCTCGGAATGTGTGTTGACGTTGCGATCCACCCTGAGCTTGCTTTGCTTTGCTTGACTGGTCGTGTGACCTCTTGTTCTCCCCCACTTTGCCTATGGGGGTGTGTCAAACTCATATGCTATAGTCTGTGTAGGCTCTAGTGGGGTAGACAATATCGGGTACAACACTTTTAGGTTTTCCTACTTGTACCCACCTGCTTGCTAGTTCCTCCATTCCTCATTCTTCACTGATTTTTCCCCTAGGCGAAATTTCACTCGATAGTCTTTGTGCCCACCACCCGCGCGCCTCGTAGCGACCCGTAGCCCGAAGCACCCTGCCCCGTAGAGCCCGAGTAGGCCGCGCCCCCCTGTCGCCATCGCGCGTCACCCGTTTCTGCCCTGCCCCTCACCCGTTTTTGCCGTGCGTCACTCGGTTTTCTGCCCCGCACCCCACTCATTTCACCCCGCGCGTTGCCCCCCAGCCCTCTAGCGCGCAACAGACGAACGCGCGTAGCTGCCCGCGCAGCCTTAGTCGCACTCGCAGCTCCGCGCTAGTACGTTGTAGCCACGGGCATGTGCGGCCCACCATCTTAACCGGCCCCCAGACTTGAAAACCTGCCAATACACTCCTGAAATCCCCCGCCAAACCTGGAAACCCGCCGCCCCAGACCTGAAAACCGCTGCCCCAGACCTGAAAACCACCACCCCACCTGGAAACTTTCTGGCCCACCCGTTCCAGGCACCTCAACCGGGATCAGCCACCCCACCCAGTCCTCTCCACCGCATTGAACCGCACAGAACCGCACAGAATTGCACATAACTGCACAGAACCGCGGCCTTAACAACTTCCCCACCTGAAAACCGCCGCCCCGGACTTGACAACCGCCGCCCCACCTGGAAACCTGCTGCCCACCCGTTCCAAGCACTTCACCCGGGATCAGCCACCCCACCCACTCCTCTCCACCGCATTGAACCGCACAGAACCTCACAAAACTGCACATAAACGCACAAAACCGCACAAAACCATCGCCTCACCTTCCCCACCCGTAGCCTGCTGCCTTAACAGCTTCCCCACCTGAAACCCGCCTCCCCACGAGCTGCCACACCCGCCGCCAGTAGCCCCAGCCGATTACACTGCCGCCAGCAGCACCAGCAGCAGCATAGGCTGCCCCCAGCGCGCCAGCAGCAGCACAGGCTGCCCCCAGCAGAACCAGAAGCAGCATAGGCTGCCCCCAGCGAACCAGCAGCAGCATTTGCTGCCCCCAACGCACCAGCAGCAGCTTAGGCTAACGCCAGCGCTCCAGCAGCAGCACAGGCTACCCCCAGCATACTAGCGGCAGCGTAGGCTGCCCCCAGCAGAACCAGAAGCAGCATAGGTTGCCGCCAGCGCACTAGCAGTAGCATAGGCTGCCCCCAGCGAACCAGCAGCAGCATAGGCTGCCCCCAGCGCACCAGCAGCAGCTTAGGCTACCGCCAGCGCACCAGCAGCAGCATAGGCTGCCCCCAACGCACCAGCAGCAACTTCGGCTGCCCCCAGTAGAACCAGCAGCAGCATAGGCTCTCATGGCGTATACTAGGGTTCTACAGCAGCAGGGCCAGCCACAGCACTCCCGTTTGTGGGGGCTTGCTGGTCCAAAGTGTGGCGCCCCCAGCAGTGGTTCAGCTAGCAGTGGGCGAGACGTCAGCCCGTGCGGGTACCGGGCCCTGACAGGCCCTGGTGCTAGTACTACATGCTGGAGTCCTGACCACACTGCATCCAGCAGCTACTGTCGACTCAACGACCTCCACCGTGAGCGTTTTGGTCCTTACGCTATTACACCGCACTGGCATTCGCGCCTCTGCCAGCGCACTATTGCACTAGTTGAGTCTCACCTACCTGGTCTAGAACCTTTTCCGGCTGCACGAGTAGAGACCTGTGTTTCCAGTCTTGGTGCGTGTGTTGTTTCCAGTCCAGGCGCCTCTGAGGGTCTTTGTGTAGGAGCTGCAGCTACCACTAGTCTAGCACTAGCCTTTGTAGCTCATTCGGGTGCGACCCCACCGACTGAACAGCTTTCCTACACCCTAGACTCTGGAGCGTCCAGCTGTTTCTTTCGCGACTGTACTGACCTCACACCACTGCGCACTCCAGTCATTGTCGCCTTGGCTGACCCCTCTGTGGGACGTGTAGTTGCTAGCAGCACCACCACTCTTCCGTGTTCGGTGGCTCCCTCAGGATTTCTTAGAGGTTACTACACCCCCTCGTTCTCTAGGAACCTGGTGGGTGTCAGTCACCTCCATGAGCTAGGTGTAGTCACTACTTTCCCACTGGACGAGCCTGTTGCCTCGTGCACTGTTGGCGCTACTGGGGCGCCTCTGGCCACTTTCCACAGAGAGCCGGGATCTAGTCTGTACTCACTAAACACTGGGTCCCACCACAGTGAGTCGGGTCAGGTCAGGTCAGGTCAGGTCAGGTCAGGTAGCTGCTGTGTCGTGCGACTGTCGGTCACTCGCCCACCCGTCAGTCCTCTGGCACCACCGTCTAGGTCACCCGTCGTTCCCACGTCTTAGTAGGATGGTACGTCACCGTCTGGTCTCAGGTCTCCCAGCGTCGCTTGCCCCGCTTCCTTGCTCACCTCCGCCGCCGTGCACTCCTTTCGTCGAGGGTCGGCAGTGCGCCGCCCCTCACTCCTCCTCGTCCCCCCCCACCACGACTCCCTTCCAGACCCTGCACTTGGACGTTTGGGGCCCCTCCCCTATCCTTGGCCCATGTGAAGAACGCTACTTCCTGATTGTGGTGGACGACTATTCCCGCTACACCACGGCTTTCCCCTTGCGTCGGAAGGCCGACGTGCCTACCGTCCTCGAGCCGTGGCTCCTAGCGTAGGGTGGTGCCCAGGGCCTATGTGGGCTTTGCCTACACTCGGACCGTGGTGGTGAGTTCTCTTCCAGTCGCCTAGAGACGTTCTGTCAGGGTCGGGGAGTCATTTAGTCGTACACGCTACCAGCCTCGTCGCAGCAGAACGGGGTAGCCGAGCGTCGCATCGGCCTGGTCATGGAGGTTGCCCGGACCTCCATGTGCCATGCTGGTGCCCCTCTGTTCTTGTGGCCTCAGGCAGTCCGCTACGCCGTGCACCAGCTGAACCTGTGGCCCAGTGAGACATGGCCACAGGTGACGCCGGTCTCTCTCTGGTCAGGTTTACACGGCGTAGCAGCTGACTTCCGCGTCTGGGGATGTCTGGCCCACGTTCGCGCCCCTGGCGCGAACAAGTTGTCTCCGTGCACTCGTACCTGCGTTTTTCTTGGCTTCCCATTGGACACCTCCGGCTGGATGTTGTACGACCCAGTCGCCTGCGGATTCTTCGCTTCTTAGGACGTCACGTTCGAGGAGTTTGTCTGTTACTACAGGAGTCGCCCCCACCGAGGTACTGAGGTCTTTTCCCCCCCGCTGTTCCTCACCCTTGAGCCCCCCCTTGTCGCCCTGGTAGCCCCCCCCACTTCGCGTCGTGCCCCGTCAGGTGTGT